TCCTTCACACAAGAGTTGATTTTATCATTCCTTTCTCTCTCAAACTCCCTCTTCTTCATTCCCAGCACAGTCCTCTCCCTATCAGGGGTTATTCTTTCTCCCTTTTGCTTCCAGAAAAGCCTTCATCCACACTTCAAGCTAGTACCCATCGCCCTGCTCACAGGCTGCCTTCCACTAATGCTGTGGCTTCTTAAATCACTGATTAGTGCTGCTTTCACATCCTAGACATAGACAGCTTCCATGCTGCAGAGTGTCTTTCATCTGTGTCCGCATCAGGAGTCTCCTTGACAAGTCTCCAGACAAGCCTGCTTGCTTGCGCACTGATTTCATCTGTGGTGGGACCAGCTACTCGCTGCGCTGGAGATTTCGTGAGGCTTAAGGCGGTGTTCTGCCAGTCTCCCTCTTGTGACTGATCCCTGTCATTACACTGCTCAACGTTCTGTGTTGATCTGACTTGAGCAGGGATTTGAAAGCACTTACTGCAACAAGGCTCTGAATCTCTCTGTATCGAGGGCATGGTGAAAACCAGGTCAAAGACACCTCTTCTGCCGGGTTTCCACTGTGCAAAACATCAGAACACTTCGACTTGCCTGGCTTCGATGGATTATCATAGAATCCCAGAATCCCAGACTGGTTTGTGTTGGAAGGGACCTTAAAGCTCTTCCAGCTCCAACCCTCTGCTCCGGGCAGGGACACCTTCCACTAGAGCAGGTTGCTCCAGGCCCCTGTGTCCAACGTGGCCTTGAACACTGCCAGGGATGGGGCAGCCACAGCTTCTCTGGGCACCCTGAGCCAGCGCCTCACCCCGCTTATGAAAGGGCTTTTACATTGAGAGATCTATGGCAAAACTGGGGTTTTACTGACCCCAGTATTCATCTGGGCTTGTTCTTCTGGTAGCATTTCCATCTACTTTAGTGTGTTCCGAATTAGCTCTTGAGGTAGGAGTGACAGTCCATGAGGTAGCATATAAACATCATATGGCTTCCTACTTCTCTGGAAGATATCCAGATACATGATCATAGTTATGGTATAGCAACAAAAGGAAATGTTCTGATCAGTCTCTAATCCAGCCATTCCAAAAGGCATTTAGTGGTTAGACTTGATGATCTTTTCCAAGGTCTTTTCCAACCTAGATCATTCTATGATTCCATTCCTCTCCTGTTCTGCTGGATTTGCTCCACCAGTGGTTGTGGATTTTAAGTTGTTTCATTATTGTTTGTTCTAACTGAACTGATTGCAGTGCCTCGTGCTGTACATTGTTTCTACACTCGCTGTTCCAGAGGCCTTCCCTTAACCACTGAACTGGGTATCTCCACATCTCAAGGAGAGGAGGAGTTACAATCACTGCACTACTAATGGAAAGCTGGAGCTGAGCCACATGGTAAGTTTTGGAAGGTCCTTGAAGCATGGATGACCTTCTCACCGCTCACCAAGACAAGCCAGGAGGTCTGTGACAGCACAAGGTAGAGATTCCAGCCCTGTGAAATCCTGGTGAACTAATTCATCCACAAGCATCCTGTGAAATACCTGTACTCAAAGAGCAGATCCTGTGGTGGTGAACTCTGTTCTCCAGAACAGGACTGCAGGCAATAAACCATTATTCCTCTCAGTTTTCATGAGAATTCATTGAAACAATCCAGGGGAGGTACTGTTGGGAATCTGTGATGGTTTGGAAATGGCATAAGCTGGAAGAAAGACAGGAGCTAATATACTCCAAACAAGCCTAAATGAAATTTAGGCTGCTGTAGCCAGCAGCAGGTCACATAACCTAGTGTGTTTCTGGAGCTGAAATAGAGAAAGTGCTTTTCTGGTGTCAATTTTTATATCTAATGCTTTTGATTCCTTCTTATCAGTACTTGCCAACAGCAGGAGAACTGCAATTACACATGAGCAGACATTGTCCGCCAGAAGAGCTCTCCTATGTCTCAGCCTGAGGGGAAAGTGAGAGAGCTATGCATAAACATAAAGGATTTATGGACAGATAGAAAATCCTTATTATTAAGCATTTCCACAATTGCATTGTTACCAAAGGGCTCAAGCATTTTTGTTTCAAAGTCAGTGAGTTAATCTAGAATCTCCTCTTAAGTAGATTTTTGCTGTCCAGGTAATCTGGGGGTTAATTCTGCAAAGTTACATAGTGCTAACATGAAGGAGCTGCTTCCACAGAAAGCTGGGTGAAAGGAGTATCTTTTATTAGTTTCCATTCTTCTCAAGGGTTCCCAATTTTGGGTTATTTTTTGCCTTTTTATGACTGAAAACACACTTCAGGGGTTTAAAAATACCACTCTAGCTCATGATCAGGTAAATACATCTGTAAGTGGGTTTTCTTCTGCCAGATAGAATGATATGCACCATCAAGACAGCCCATCCCAAGCCCAGTGCACTGGGAGCCCTCATGCTGGGGGCTGCAGCTTGGGGTGGGCAGCACAGTCATTAATGAGAACTCCTGCCCCTGCCTGCCCCACAACCTGCCTGCAGGAGGAGGCAGTGGGGGTAGTATCTGGAAGGAGGGATGGGAAAGGAGAGAGTGGAGCTGCCACCTGCAGTGTGTGAACAACCAGCGTAAGAACTGCAGCCGTTGAAATGTCTCACTGTGCCTTGGGTGAGAACAGCAGCTTTTAGGTCAAGAGTTTAAGATCTGCTTGAAATCAGGTGGTTGGAGGTTGTCTTTGTGCTGCAGTGCACTCAGTGTCAAATGGTGGCTCGAGTGTCATGGATTTAATGCGCCCAGTTAGGCTTCTGTACATGCCATTGCTCGTTAGAGCAGCGCTCAGTACAGGCCGAACTGAAGTGTTGGAGGACATGCTGAGCTTCTTGTCTAATTGCTCACTTATTATCCACCTGGAAGTCCCAAAGCTTCTAAACAAGGGCTCAGGGAAGTTGCAGCCAATGGAGCCTGTGATCTAGTATTCAAAGTCAAGAAGCTGTAATGACTGAGCAGGCCAGAACACCCAGTCCTGTTGTTCTTGGCATCTCAGTGGCTTATTTCCATTCCTGACAGTGGTAGGACTCTTCTTGGGCAGGTTGCAAATCTCTACCAGGAAATCCCACAGTTCTGTGTGCTGACAGGTCACAGAGCCAAAGCTCTGTTAAGAACTGCATTTCCAGATGAGGGGCAAATTAAGTCTTGGGAATTTCCCTGATGTCACTGACTGCCTGATAACCTCTTTTGTTTTTCTATGCAGGCTTGCCTGAATCCCTCCTACCTTCTTCAGATGGTTTGAGCAAAGAACACATCAAAGATGTAGACATGTCTTTCATCAACTAAATACCAGCAGCCGGGTTATCTGAAGTCATTTTCTGCCTGCCTGCCACTGGGAAGAAAGTGCCTTCAGGGGATCTCATTGTGTACCCCGAAAGTACACGGCAAAACAGCTCTGGAGTAAACAGAGGCAGACCCAGCACCCCTCATCCTCCTCACTGGGACGCTCTGTATTCACAATAAACCCCCTGCTGTGATCTCTTGCCAAGAATAACACAGACAGTCTATTAAAACATCTTTAATAACATGATATAATTAAAAATATCTAATGTGCAACTCCAAAAAATTAATATGAAGCTCATTTAAATCTGTTTCCACACCCCTCCAAACTTGACTGACAGGTTCCAAACCTTCATTAATGGCCTGAAAATTTATGAATACCCCAATATTATGGGGGTGTCCGTGTATATGATTTGGGAGCACAAGGAATTAATAATCAGATTTGAAAGGATTTGGGTTCCATGGTAGCTTTAAAAATCCTGCAAGGCACATCATTATATCTGTGAGCATTTAAATTTCTCTTTCAAGTGGTCTGAAATGAGCTGGAGACACTTGTCCCTTGGGCTTTTAACAGCCTGTGTGTTGCTTTGAAGCAGAGAGATGAACTGTAAGTGCTTTAGTCAAAGGTCAGCGTTTGTCTGAATCGATCCCTTTCTTCACAATAACACAGAGTTTGTACAGCACCTCAGCTCTTAGTCAAGCAGAGCATCTTGGAATGACTGCCAAGGCCCAGAGGAATCTGGAGTGTTGGATAATAAAGTAACTCTAATATGTCTAATTGACTAATATGAAAGTCAATTAGGAAAGCTTCTCTTCTAGGGTCTGCTCTTGTCTGAGGGACAGTGTTAGATGAGCTACTTCCCTTTCAGAGTCAAGCAGTTCAGTGCAAATGAACAGAGCAGTGACCCTCAGCCCAGCCTGCACCTTGTTTTAGCAGATGTGAAATTAAATGTCATAGAATTCAAGTCATAGAATGGTTTGGGTTGGAAGGGAACTTAAAGATCATCTAGTTCCAGGTCCTGGTTAAAGAGTTTAAATTGATAATGTTAACCCTGAGTTGCCATGACTCAGCCGAGAGACTGGAACACAGCTGCATGTCCATGCCCTTTGCTTCTTCGATGCTCTGCACTTTTTGTAGAGGCCCAGTCTAAAAAGCTTTACTTTTGGAGAGTTCTTGAAGGGACACATGAATGCCCTCACTGAGATAGAAGGAAGACAGTCAGTAGAAGCAGGCAGAAATCCCCTGCTTTTTCCCTAGAACGTGGGAGCAAGTTGCCTGTTGTGTTGTGGCTATTTAACGCTGTTTCAGTCTTTCCTGGTGGCAATACTGCAGGTGGCGTCTCTCTTGCAGGCACAGAAGAGGAAAGAGCACTTTCCTCAGACACCCCCTCTCCTGATTAGACAGAGTTATTCAGTATTAAATCTGTATTAGTTCAGGGCCTTCCATTACATTGACATGAGTAATCCCAGTTGCAGCCCAAGCAAGATCAGTGTAGGCTGCTCTCATTTGGACAACGAATAGCTTGCCATCCACCAGGAATCACAGGTTTCCTCTAGAGCAGGATCCATCGTCTCGAAGTATGGCAGTGCAAGTGCTAGCAAGTTGAAGTAAGGCACAGAGGCTCTGGGACTCCTGCAGGAAAATCACTTGCATCCTCCAGTGACTTGCAGTGGTGTGGTTTCTGTATGTCCCCTATGAACTGCCCTCTGGCAGAAGTATCGAGTCCCAGAGTAATGGTCAGTTGTCATCAAAGACACTGCTGTTCCTGTTACTGAAGCTGTTCTCCTTCACCATCACTCGGTACGAGATGCGCATGAAAGAGCCAGTGAGCAGTACAACAAAGAGGATGAGGAGCAAAGACCAGACCCCTGGCTCAATCCCCTTGAGGAAGCTCGGGCTGTCCTGGGCGATGGTGTTGGTCAGAGTCAGCAGGTACCCCAGAGTCCAGCCAGAGGATCTATCACCCATCTATTGAAAGAAAAAGGAGGAGAGGTCAGAAGAGAAGACAGTCTGATCCCAGCTGTGTTTCTGTGCACAGGCCTAAGGCCTTGTATACCTTATTTGAGACTGACTGGAGGTCGGAACGAGATGATCTTAAGGTCCTTTCCAACCCAACTCATTCTATGATCCAAAGATTAGACTTGAAATGAGGAGCAATCCCACACCTGGTGCCCTCAGTGCACTAATAGGCTTTCATTGCCCCAAGCAGCCTCACCTGGTACTTCCACCCCCCACCTCTGCCCATAGGCCTGGGAGCTCCATTTAAGCTCTGGCCTGGGCAGCCCCCTCTTTCCTGAGCCAGCCTATAGGTGTGTGCTGTTCCTTCTTCTTCTTGCTATCTGGTTCTCCCAGGTGAGCATCAGGTCCTTAGTTTTGTCTCTGGCCTTGTTGCCTGGTTGCACCTCAGACCTATGTTATAGGCTTCTCAGACTGGGCTCCCTGGTTGGACCCTGGTCCTACCTCCTTACCTTGCCCTAGTGTCAGCCACATGGCTGACAACTGCTGTCACTGCTGCAGCCCTGCTCACTGGGACTGTGCTTTGCTGGTGAGTTGTGACAGGGTCTGGGAATAGGCTTTCTTCTCTTTTGTGAAGGGGAGCACCTGAATCCAATCCTCCTTTCCTTAGGGGCTCCAGATCCTGGAGCATTTCCACACCTTGTAAGTCACAAAAGCCTCGCTAGTATAAAGGTGATTGTGAAGAGGTAGGGCAACATCTTCTGGTTCAGGAAATATTATCAGCAAGTTATCCTTAGCATAAAGTGGTACTTGAGCCATGCTTCCCTGTTGGGTATAAACTTTAAAAGATGATAATGCTCCAGATAGGGTTTTGACTTCTGTATTTTTCAAAGGGGACAGTGTAATCTCTAGCTTTCTTGTCACTGTCTTTCTTGCTTAGCACAATTACAAATTAATTTTGCAAAAGCATCTTGCTGGAGAAACCTGGCTGGTTTGGGCTTGCAGGAGTGGAGACAGGCTGGCTTTGCTGAAACCACCCCTCCCTTGTACCTGGAAGTACCATGCTGTAGGTAACTGACCTTCTTCTGGAATGAAGTCCAAACAGACCTGTTGAAGTCAAAGGTGTATCCCTTTGTACTGAGGTGGAAGATGAAGGCAGACACAACACAGTAATCCGCAAGTGTATCCAGGCTTGTCTGGGACTCCTTCACCAGCTGGTGTCATTTCCAAAAGAAGATGGGGAAAAGAAAATAAAGGAAGTAAATATTCACTAGCAGAATTTCAGTCCTGCTGTAACTTCTTTCCTGCTGTGGGACTGGAGGAGGTCTTTGTGTCCTGTGCAGACTGAAACCATGTTTCCTGCACCTTCTGGAACGCGGTCTGGGAACTGGTGTCATCTCTGTATGCCTTTGTTCCCATCTTATTAAAGCCCAGGCAGTTCAAGAGCAGCAGGGCTGTCAGGCAGGTCTCCTGCACTTGCCTTGCAGGTGAACTGCTTGGTATGATCCTCTGCTCTCTGATTAGATTGAGCTAATGCTGCAGCCTTTCTCTCAACAGGAACAAGATCTGTCTCTTCTATCCAGAAGAGAAAGCTTTAGGGAACTGCTTATGGGCTTTACTGTCCCAGTAGCAAACCCTGTAGAGATTGTCCAGTTTGAATGTTACTGTGGGTGCTGCTCAGTTTCCCAACTAAGGGAAAGAACTTACACCTTCTCCCTGGCCTGGTCTCCAGGGGCCCAGGTGAATGGGAAAGCCCCTGGACTCTGAGTGAATGTTCCTCATGCTTAAGGGGAGAAGGGTAACAGGAAGAGCAGGGTGATGTACAGGAGTGAGTAGACAGCCCTCCTGTTTACTCCTTAATGTGCACCAAAGGTAGTTGTGGCTTTTCATTTAATTAAGTCCAGGTGTTACCAGCAGCTGGGATTTGAGAGGAAGAAAATAAGGGGAGCCTGTTTCCTCAAAGTGAATATCAACCATAAACCAGCAAACAGGAAAATCCAGGTTTTTCCTTGAGGGAGCCAGTCAATTATGGCTCTGTCAGTCTGAGCCCCATGGGCTTTTACAACAGACTGTTCCTTGCTTCCCACTCTCCCTGCACACTGAGTTATCCACTTACCTCTTTGACGGACATCCCACAAAGCCTGTTGACTGCCTGACCCAAGTCAGGAGAGGGCACAGTTTCTTTCAGGAAGTCCATGGCCTCAGAAATCACCTACAACAGCAACAGAAATAGTCATCAGGTCACACCGCACTCTGCATCCTCACATCGCATTCAGTGCCTATAGGAAAGAAAGTGGCAGTAGCTGTGGGGTGCATGGCCAGGGTGCCCTCTCCATGTGCCTGTGTTGGTGGTTATGGTGCTTCTGATGTGTGCAAGGAAGACAAGCAGATCTGTTACTCTCTGGAGGTGGAAAAAGGACTGTCTGGATAAGTAGACTAGTCCTTATGCTTCTTGCACTGTGTCCATGGGAGAATCTCGGGAGCAGGGATCTGGAGAAGTGTCTAATTCCTCCCTCTGAAATGCACTCAGTTTGTCCTTGGATCTTGAGCTGGTCCTGGCTTAACAACCCAATGACTTTGGACACTAGATCTAGGGTATCAGATATACGTATGCTTGTGGTGAAACACGCCCAGATGTTTCCCGTGGAAGTGGCAGAAGATCTTCAGCTTCACCACAGACTTCATGTGAGCAGACCTGCTCAGCATGAGACTCCTGGTTGTCCTATTGCTGCTTGCTCTGTGGACCCCCAGAGATTGTCTCACAGCAGGCATTGCTGAGGCATGGATGAGCAAAGCCCTGTCGCAGTCACTGGTGGGAAGCCCATGGTCCATATTTGACCAGCTGTGTGTCAATGGTGGGGAGAGGGCAGGTGAGCATGTGTACAGCATTACCCAGAGCACTGGCTCTCCTGGCTAGCAAGGGGCACAGTGTGACTATCCCCACTGTACTTAATAATGGTCAAACTGGTCCCATGGCATGGGTTCTCCACACCAGTTGCCTACCCCAGAGTAGATGAGAACCCACCAGAAACCTGGTCCGGAGGGGCTTGAAGACACTGCTGAGGGAATGCTTGGAGAAGCTGCAGGAGGAGGAAGAGTTGAGCAGGCTCTGCACAAGCCTCATGCAGGCAGTGGGATCGCTGGAGCCGGTGACATTGAAGACCTCAGGACCAGAGATGTCTGGTGTGTCCTTGCTGACAGCACAGGGCCCAGCATACACAGATTGCCACTGCACTTCCCGGGAGTAGGAGAGGGGCCAGCAGGGATTAGACACAGTTTTAGCCCCTCTCTGATCCTAGAGAGAATAAAACAAGGACAGAGGCAGCAAGAGGACAGGTTGGCATCCCAGGGCTTCACAAAGGAAGACAAAATGTTACACAGTGAAGAACGGTTTTCCTCTGGCACCATGATATTGTAATGAGCAAACAGGCTGCAAAAGGTTTGCAAACCTTGTCTCAGCCACTCAACTGGAAGGCCCAGAGCAATGCAGCAGGCTCCCAGCTCCCCCAGGGTTCAGGGCAGAGCTGCAATGACTGGACCTGCTGTGGGAGGCTGAGGAGTCCCAGCCCTACCTGCTCTACCTGAGACCAGAAATACAGTTTCGATGGGTCCTGTACTCTTTCAAGTTGCGAGAAAGAGGATGTTCAGGTCTGCCTTCCAGATGGCTCAACCCCTCAAGAACCAGTGTTTGCTATCAGGAAATAAGGGGGAATGGCTTTAACCTGCCAGAGGGGAGATGAGATGAGCTCTGAGGCAGAAGTTGTTCCCTGGGAGGGTGCTGAGGCGCTGGCACAGGGTGCCCAGAGAAGCTGTGGCTGCCCCATCCCTGGCAGTGTTCAAGGCCAGGTTGGACACAGGGGCTTGGAGCAACCTGCTCTAGTGGAAGGTGTCCCTGCCCCTGGCAGGGGTTGGAGCTGGAGGAGCTTTAAGGTCCATCCAACACAAACCAATCTGTGGTCTCTAAGAATTCCCAATATAACTGTGGTGAAGTGGGTCTCCATGTGGGACATTCAGATCTCATTTAAGAGGTGTGGTTTTAGGGAGGCAAGTGGATGGGCAGCACGTAGTTTATTTCTGACATAAAAAATCAGGTTTGGTGGAGACTAAAGTGATTCCTGAGTTTGCATCAGATCCTGCCTCCTGCTAAGTACAATACAGCTTGGAAGAGCCAAAAGACCTTCATATTTTCAATATGAAATAGTGCTCTTTTAAAGATGCTTCAGGGTTTAAGTTGCTAAAGGAAATACCCCAAATGGAAGGTCCCAGTTGGTTCCTGGGTGCTGTGTTCTTCACCCTGAAGGTGATCTTAGCACCTCTGGAGAGCAATTTTGTGCTCCTGTGTATTAAGAAAGAAGCCAAATAGAGCCTGCAAGTAAGAAGCTCTTGAGTGGGTGCCTGTGTGTCTGCTTGGAGGGCATTGATTTAGCCACAGAAAGTATGTTCTACCAATGCACCGGCCTTTTTTAAACACATGCAAGTGCCCTCTGTTAAAAACAGTGATTGATATTTTGCCTGTTAGAAGCTACACCTTGTGCAACTCTCATTTAGTGCTGTTGTAGCCAGGAACATTGCAAATGCCTCTGGAGATACTCACTTGAATGAGCAGAGTGAGCAGCCTGCTGCGGAGCTGGGCCGTGCCGTGGCAGGGGCAGTGGTGAGTGTACACACTGTGTGTCTGTCCATACAGCTGCAGCTTCATTCCCTCTTTAGGCACCTGGTTCTCCTCTTCCACCTTGGCAGTGAGCTGTGCTGAGGTTCCTCCCACTGACAGGACTCCTGCCAGCCCCTTCCCAGAGGGAACCAACTGTCCTCGCCAGTCGTACTAACCCAAAAAGAACCAGAGAGGTCGGTTCTTAAGACTTCTGCATCTGGTCACAGTCAGCTTCAAGCATTAGTGCACAGAGAGAGAAAGCTCTTTGGTGCAATACAGCCCAACTTCTTGTTTTGCCCACAGGGTGTAAGGATGCTGAGCTGGTGGCTTGGCAGGGAACAGAAGAGCCATTGAACAAGCACTGCCATCTGCACTGAGAGCTCCCACAGCCAGCGAGAGCAAACAGGGCTCCCTGTCCTGCTCTTCAAGCAGTAGTCATGGCAGGTAGGAGCAGGGGAGAGAGGAGAGGGTGATGGGAGGGGATGGGAGGGAGGTTTCCAAGTGGGAAGGGATGGGCTTCAAGTGCTGCCTTGATGCTAAAGTGATCCTGCTGGCAGATGAACCCTGATGTTTCATCTGCACTCTTACAGAACTGAAGTTAACAATGCAGGCAGGCAGGTTTACATGGGTGGAAGTGCTCTGTCCTGGCTGTGCTGGGGGAGGCTGTGCTGGAATTTGCTAGCAATTCCCTAACTAGTGCATGCTTGCTGCTGGTTCTCAGAACTGCCTTTCACTCTGCTAATGTGGAATCACTTGGCCTAACCTGCCTTTCTCTTGCCCTTTGAGTTCATGAGAACTCAGAGGCTTTGGCTTGGGGGGAAAGCAAAGAAACTTAAGTGTATTCTTTTTATTTAGCAAGTGCCTTAGCAGGCCCCTGTGCTGTGGACACTCAGCTATACTCTCACTGGCATCTCAGTGAGAAGCTTTTGCTTTGGCAGCAGAAGACTCTGCTTCTCTGTCCACCATCCACAGGATATCCTGTGGGACTTCTGGACTCCAGTGGCAACCCCACAGACAGCAGCAATGCGTGTTTGACAGTGGGGCTGAACTAGAGCTGCAGAGTCAGAGCAGTGGAGCTGTTATTGACACCCCAGGGCCAGGCTATGTAATGTCATCTATGGGAGCATCTAGATGTGATGTCCAGAAAGCCTCACATCTGTTAGGACAACTGCATGAATGTGTCCATGATATATTAGATATATTAGAGCTTTGGTCATTCATCCTAGTTACAACCATCTTACACTATGTCCCCCAGCCAGCTGGTGTTGGATATAACCTGCCTCCTCTGAAAGGCAGTGCAAGTTGTGCTTTAGCATTGTTTAAAGTGCAGGGTTTTAATGATCCCTCCCCATGTCTCTGGGGCTGATTGCGAATGTTCCGTACTCCCCGGGCAAGACTGTCTTTTACCTTGAAGAAGTTCTCCAGGACATAGTTAACAGCAACCCAATTGAATGCTTCCTTTTCTGGACTGGACAGGATTTGTGCCCCCTGAAAGTTGAAGGGAGATGACTTCAGGGCTGCAAGGAGACCATCAGAGAAGATGGGATGGGTGAGGCTAAACAGAAAAGAAAAAGAAGGTACATTTGTTGTTGCAGGACCCTGCAGGAGCAGCCTGCAGTGGAGGCACAGCTGCAGGGCTTCTGCTGTGCTCCCGTTTTGGGTAATAGCACAGAGACACAATGACAATCCCACTCCTGCTGCTACTTCCCTCTTCCAGTACTGGGGGCAAGAACAGCAGAGGGATGATATAAGCAGTTGTGCCACCATTCAAGAATGTGAGAGTTTTGTACGCTCTGCCACTGAAGGAGTCCTGTGGTCTTGCCCCACTGATCTGGTCCCCTCCAGGCCCTACTTTTCCCCAGTGTCTAAAGGAGACAAAGGTCCCAGTAATGAGGTAACTGAGAACAGGGTCCACAAAAGGGTGTACTATAAGGTGGATCCTCATTATCGTTTCCAACCTGCTGACGAGAAGCACCCCCACAAGCCCATGGGGGTAGTCACATAAACTGAAATCACTTCAACTTCCAGACTGACGGGTGTTCTCCCAAGCACTAAATGTGAAGGACACAACACAGACTGGTAGCAGAAGCAAGTCAGTCATCCTCATGGCTGCTTGGGGGGACACAGCCATGCCACAGTCCCCTCGAGTACATCGGGCCCTGGGGAAGGTTTACCTGACTAGCAGGCTAGGGATGGAACTCTGCAGAGCAGGCAGGGTGAGATGCAGTCACAGACTGACCTCATGGCGTGTGCTGATGGCTGGGGATGGGTTTGCAACATTCACTCACTTCAGCGGCCTCATGCTGGGAGTTGCTCCCAAGAAGAGCGGGGTTTGGCTGTGCTGCTCTGCCGGGATCTCTTGCTGGGCCCAGGTCAAACATGGCTGCAGGCTCTCCCCTACTTTCTGAGGGGAATCTGTGTAGTTGGAGACTCCCAGACCTGAGGACCAGGGAAAGAACAGTATGGGAGGAGTGTGAAAGCCATTACCCAAGAGGTTGCTATCCTGGGGCATGGTTAAAGTCAGGACCTGTCCTCCAGGTAACAATCCTGCTGA